GCAGCATTTGATGAATCTGGTGGAGCTCTGTCAGAGTTATGACCTACTATACTCAAACACATACATTCATTTTTGCAGACTGTCTTTCTGTCACCAAGCGATCCAATCCTTGTTTACTTTTCTCAGTTTACCAATTTCTAAAATTTGGACAGTGAAAGGTTTGTTTCCAGCTCTTCCACTCTCCTGTATTAAGGTCATATCAGTAAATGTGTTAAGGTTCATTATCTTCCATGTTTTGGCCTCATTAATTTTACTAAATATTGCATATCATCTGCAGACCTTGATATTAACTAAAACCAGTCATGTTGCTTGGGGTTTTGGTTCCTACCATTTACTCACTCAGGGAACTAAACACCATATTAAACCTTCTGACAACCTTTCAAAAGTGCTTCTCCTTCAATAGCATCAAGGATGAAGGCAATGTGAGTTGCCTAAATCGTGTAATGAAAATAACATTACATGATTTTGAAAAAAGAGACTGGATGTTTTATAAAACAGGAAGCAGATTTTCTTAAAAGTCTTTTAATAATTGTGGAAAATAATTTCCAAGCAAATTACATTAAAAACAAATAAGAAAATGTATTTCTTTTTTAATGTTAATCTTTTGAGAAAATTCAATTCAAATATTCTTTAAAAAAACTTCTAAAGATTGTCATTTATATTAAGCAAAGCCAACAATGTTGTTTTTAATTAATTTTAACTGTATTAGGGTCAATTGTAGAAGGCCCAAAGAGCCCCTGATCTCTATTCATACACTGGATTTTTGATTGCCTGAAAAAATGTAAAGCCACCTTCCGCCATGCTGGTACTCCCTACTCTCCCGCAGTAAAAAAATGCCTACATGTGTAGCATTTGGCTGCAAAAACAAGCAGTTTGTCGGCTGTGGGAAGATGTTTCATTGGTTATTTCACAGTCAGTGGATGTACTAACCAAGAAAATCAATATATACGCCCATGTATCCTACAGCATAGTATGTAGCTGGCTATCTGGCTATCTCAGACTGACTCGAAGATATTGACTAAATTAGCCATTGACATTATGTCTAACGTAAGAAAGTAAATAGAAAGGCGGATTGGTGCAGCGTCTGCCGTGATGCGGGCGGTCCGTCGTGGTGAAGAGAGAGCTGAGTCAAAAAGCGAAGCTCTCGATTTACCGGTCGATCTACGTTCCTACCCTCATCTATGGTCATGACCGAAAGAACGAGATCGCGGATACAAGCGGCCGAAATGGGTTTCCTCCGTAGGGTGGCTGGGCTCTCCCTTAGAGATAGGGTGAGAAGCTCGGTCATCCGGGAGGGACTCGGAGTAGAGCCGCTGCTCCTCCACCTCGAGAGGAGCCAGTTGAGGTGGCTTGGGCATCTGTTTAGGATGCCTCCTGGACGCCTCCCTGGTGAGGTGTTCCGGGCACGTCCCACCGAGGGGAGGCCCCGGGGAAGACCCAGGACACGCTGGAGAGACTATGTTTCTCGGCTGGCCTGGGAACGCCTTGGGGTTCCTCCTGAAGAGCTGGAAGAAGTGGCTGGGGAGAGGGAAGTCTGGGCCTCCCTTCTTAAGCTGCTGCCCCCGCGACCCGACCCCGGATAAGCGGAGGAAGATGGATGGATGGATGGATTTTGTGCTGATGGATTTGTATAATATGTTATATTACATGATTTAGAGACTTCATTGATTTCATAATGACTATGCAATAAGATGTGTCTATTTCTTTTATTATAAGTTAATCTGCTTATGCTATGAAACAGCCAGTGTGTGTCAAAGTGATGAATTTATCTTTATTATAAAAATCTTAAGTTCCCCTGAACATGAGAACATCACCGTTGTTCAATGCCGTAGCTCATGTGTTGTTTATATTGTGACCGGTCTAACTAGGGAGTACCAATATGGCGGCCGGTGGCTTCACTTCAAGCCCATACTACCAACGGGCGAACAGCAATCCATTGAACAGAGATCAG